CCCTCTCAGTATACTCCCACACCTGTATCAACGAACCATTGGCAAATTTCCTGACCACCTCAACCACTCCATCGATCTCCTTCTTCAGGGTTAGATAGGCTCAATACCGTAAACCCCAGGGTAGTAACGTACATAGGCCAGTGCCGGACTACGGGTGGTACAGTGGTCCCACCCCGTGGCGGAAGTAACGCTTCAGGGCCACGATGTATGGCCCTGGCTTAAGTTATTTATAGTCCCGAGACACCTTTTCTCTCCCTCTTTCGCCCTATCCACATTCCCACCCAAATGCCAGGCACTACGTCCTCGGTTAGAAAGAGTCTCCATCCGGAACCATCCACTCACTCTAGGAATCCCTGGAATCGGCTGTGTACATATAGTCATTCTGGACCTTCTCACTGTCAATTATTTTTCTCCTGTTTCTTCATTTCCACTACCTTACCAGTCGTCTTTCCCCCCTTTTAGAGAAGAAGTTTACTTCCCAACTCTTAAGACCCTGCAAAGAAGAGACTTTGCAGAAAATTTTTGTGGATTACCTGAGGGGTGAGAATGGAGAAGAAGTCAGTGCCATCGGGGATTTAGATTCTGGAGAGAAACTGGAGGGACTTTGTCCCGTTTGTTTGGAAAAGGAAAAATACAAATTCTGAGAATACCGTGACATTTTATACACCTTTTTGTACTTTGGTCCGAGCCGATTGATTCACAAAGTACCTACTCTACCGAATTGCCTGGCAAACATCAATATACTTTTTTACCCAGACAAACGTTTGGACTGTAAAATAGAATAGTTGAAAGCATACATTGAATTTAATTTCACTTGTCATATAAATAATCATTTAGAATGAGTTGACAGGGAGGGTTTTGAGGGGTCTCGAGAACCCTCCCCAGTGGGATAATGCGCGAGTGAAGGGGGTGTGGGAGTGTAGGTAAAGTTACCGTGGCACCATGCCATGGATAAGGGATGAGAAGTAATGGCACGAGGAAACTCGACGTTGCGATAGGTCACCGGATAAAGTTATGGCTCGTACATAACGTACGCCAGGTTCGGCCGGTTGTCTACCCTCCCTCTTCAATCCTCAAAGCCTTCCGTCGTGGTGGAATGCTCTCTACCTTGCGGTTGTTATCTCTATTGGCGCGCCCTCTTTTGGTAGCGTCTGTGAGGCAAACGGAAAAGGATAGAGCGGGGGGATTGTAGAGTGATGTTTACGTTCACATGAAGAATCTGATCCTTACTCTCAAGATATTCTCGTATTTATTTTTCATCCTCAACGAGATTTCTGGGGATTTGTTTCTAAAGGGGGCATGAAAGTATTGGGGTTGAAGGTTTAGAGGACTAGGGGTCGAGGGGTTTGAATGATTTTTTAGGAGAAATGTTAATGAATCCGTTTTGCCTAGATGTAGTAGCAAATAGCTTAAAACCACTCTAACTCAAAATTGGATGAATAAAATTTTGAATATTTTATCTCCCTTGAACCTTTTAATGAGATAAATTTATAATATTTGCATCATTACTTTGAAAAATATTCGAGATTTATAAAAATTTATTTTTCGAGTGCGATTTGAGGGAATCGTTAAATCGAGGGCGTTACACGGAGAAAAGAATACCAGAACAATCACTACGAAACAGGGTAAAACGAGTTCATTTCACCGGTTCTGAAGAAGATCTAGAGTCACCACTGCAAATTTTGTAGTGCGATACCGTGCGATGCATTAAATACGGGAAAAATTCTTGTAGCGCATAGCAATATTGCCGGTGCAGGTACCAGAATTTTTTCAGGGCTGGTGAAATCAAACCACATGTTACCATGGCAGCACAGTAATTTTTTGACGTGTATGTGTCTATGGTTTTAATATGAGGGGTCATTTTGGGAAACGGTCCTTATGTGTAGCGCCATCTATCGGAAGTCTAGGAAATTCTAGACATTTCGAGGTAATTCGAGAAGTTTCTTGAAATTTCGAAAAAATTCAAGGAGTTTCTAGAAATTTCGAGGAAATTCAGGGAGTTTCTAGAAAATTCGAGAGAATTTAAGGAGTTTCTAGGAAATTCGAGAAAGAAGGAAAGACCATGGACGTATCCACGTACAATTACAGCTGTATCGATGATACAGCCACCTGCAATTTTTTAAAAATATTATTTCCTCCGCACACAATGAAATAGAATGATATGTGACAAGACATCTATTGCATTATCTGTAATCCCAATATATTCTCTACAAGGTTGACAACAGTTATGTGTGTGAACATTTAATTTTATTAATGATAGAAATTTGGCAGGTATATGTCACAGTGCAAGGCCAAAAAGTCGATTTTGGGAATTTCCTAGCCGATTTGTTCCCTGATTGTAGGTTTTTACATGAACATTTAAAAAAAAGTTGAACAATATTGATAATTAAGTGACTTATGATTTTTTGAAAACTGCATTTTTTCTTTTAATGAAGAAATTTAGCGAATATTTTGTCGTAAATTAAAGTTATTTCATCGCAGTAGTTCACTGCATACTAATGCTTCCAACAAACAACCTAATAAAAATTGAGGCAAATTAGGATTAATTACGAAATTTTCTCATAATTGAATGAATTTTTATTATATTATTAGATGACCCACGACTCTTGTAAGTCTACAAATAATTGACATGTTATTCATCACCCGCCAAAATTCGATATTGCACTTTTAAAAAATCCAGTGTAACGATTTTGAAGCTTTTATTCCGCTTATCAAGTAATGTAATATGATGTCTATGTATGTTTTTTTATGTACTATAATTTTTTGTTTACAGTAATTGTAAAAAAAGAGAAATTCATGTCTTACTGTAATGAAAAAAATACATGCTGTATATATTATATGCATATATGTTTCTATACTTCATTTTTTTAACTGTTAAAAAGTTAATATAGCTCTGTATAAAAAAAAGTAATAATATGGTTCTGTAGAAAAAATATATATAGGATAGTATATATGTATGTAGTACATAATCCATTCCTAAAAATAAAAAAAACGCAAAAAGCAAAAGAGGAACGAAGAAGAAAATGACGATTCCGAATAAATTATTCAACAATTAAATACTCATTGTGAAAAACTTTGTTGAAACCATTCAGTTTTCCTGCATTATTTATTCATTATTCTTGAAATAGAAATTAATCAAAGCGAGCAACGGTAAGGTTTTACGTTTTACGCTGAGTTTATGTGTGGAGAACATGTTCGCAAGAAAGTTGAATTATTATTCTATAATGAAAGATTTGACAGTGGTATGGAAATTATCATTGTTTTGTGTCGATTTTGACTGGTACTAATATAATGAAACTATTCTCTTCTTCCCGTCAGTAGCAAAAAGTAAAATTCGTAGATCATTTTTTATCACGTAAAATAGTTCAAGACAAAGTTTTTATCGTTTCTGAAGAGAAATGGTGGAAAGACGGAATTGTGCACGAAGATTAAGAATACAATTACATCTCAAGTGTGGATAAAGATCCTACGCCGTTGAACATTATAACTGCACCTTTCCAAAACGCTGTGTGTGAAAAGATCGAAATCCAACACATTCACGATTTCTCAAGGCATCGAAAATTTCATCTCTCGTAAATTCATCCATTATCAACCCATGAAAGGCCTCTAACATATCTGTTTTGATTACATGATAAAGGACATAATAAAGAGATTAGCTTTAGAAATTTCTCATAATTATTTTTAGCAGTAAACAAACTCAGTTTCTGTATCCACTATCGATCCTCTCTTATGACTCTTGTGACAATCATGGTGGTAGATAGAATAATAGTGGAAGCCTTTCGTTTGCTAGTATTTGGTTAAAAATCCACTCATTTTCAAAATCGTCCGCTAATTAAACCTAATTTCCCTAAAATTTGATTAGTTCGCTTGTTTAAAGCATTGATATTCATTGAAGAACTGCGAAAAAATAACTTTAATGTGCACACCAAGATATTCGTCATGGGCTGGACGCAAGTCTAGTGTGCGAAAGGTGGTGAGTTCGCTCCCAAGTGGAACCGAATTTTTCAATGTGAGGCTCCAGCTAGCGGGAGGTTGCTAATAGAGTAACCGCCTGTACCAGTATGGGTTTCCTGTGGTTTCCTATGTTACTCCTATGCTCTATAGGAGTGCGAATGCGGTATAGTGTACAATCCACAGCCGCATGCATAGGGTTGGATAGAGTGCCAAATAGGACCCTGAAAAGGACTCAAAGGCAGTGAAAAAAAATCTTACTGATGATTTTTGGTGACAACTTTCGATTTTTAAAAATATGGTTTTAAAAATGATTGGAATTGAAAAAAAAAACAGGTTTTGTCCAATAACGCCAGTAAAACACCAGTGAATGCCACCTCATGACATGTTATTTTGAAGATTTTGTTATGCTTATTTTGTGTGAGTTTTTATTGCCCTTCGTGTGTCCAAGAGCAATTTAATCGCTCTAAGTCCAAATTAAATATCGGTGGCAAGTTGAGAAAAAAAATTATTCATTAAAAAAAAACCAAATTTGCAGCAAATCAGAACTCCCTCAATTAACAATGTTTTTCAATTTTTTTTCAGAATGTCCGTCTAAAAACCAACTTTCAGCAAAAAATCGGCAAGGAAATCCCTAACATCGACTTGTAACTACGGCGTTTCGACGTAGAACTATGCAAATTCATTTTAATTTTTTGCCTAGGGACCATTCAACAATTACGTCACGCACTGAGGGGGGGGGGTCTTGAATGTTGTGATGATGTGTGACGGTGGGGAGGAGGGGTCGCGCAGGCCGTGACGTCACGCTCATATCCTTTTGTTTCGCATTCGATTTTCAAAGAAAAAATGAAAAAAGTGAGAAATAATTTTCTTTTTTTTTTCACTTTTCAAACGAACGAAAAATAAAGAATACGATGGTTATCACTAGGTGGCGTGCATTATGCAGTATCTGTAGTTGTATGCCCTAAACGATACTGCGCAGTTTGTTGATACATATGGCATTCACAGTGTTGTCTACATATTTTTTATCCATTCAGTGACAACGAAGGTTGGTGCAGCAGAAAAATACTGTTTATCAGCAGGGACGTGCATTCCACTCACTCTTCACACGCTTTATCTAGCTGTCCTACTTATTTCAATGTGCAATACAGTGTAACTCTTCACCTAACCTCCTGTCAATTTTTGCCTCCTAATGTTTGATATCTACGATCGTTGAGTGAATATTTCCCGAATCCAGACACTTTATATACTTTATTTATTTGACAACATGGATAAAAACAAAGCATTTCAAAATTTGTGTGCAAAATTCAAAGAAACTTTCCCTGAGAAAAAACCAGCTGCTCTTCAATAAGAAGCTACAACCTTTTGGAATTCTATCAAAGGTCTCGACGATTTTCAGAACAAACTAAATACATAATATTTTGAATTATTAAATTCAGCACGAATTAGGAAAGCGAAGATGTTATCTTTTTGGTCAACAGTGAGTATTAATCTAGACTATGAATTTACTGAGAATTGAGATTGAATATAAATTTTAATTATTCCTTAGGCTGCTGAGAAGAAACTCGATAGTACAGAACAGCCATCCACTAGTTCCACTTCCAATCAGACCAAAAATCGATTCAATAATCCACCGAATGATATTGAAAATGGGAAGAGCAATCAGAATGTTGAAAATTCAACTTCTGATGTGCCACAAGAAAGCAATACATTGAAGTCGTACAGTACACCTGCTCAAACGAAACTTCAAAATGAAATTCATGTTCTTCGACAGGAAGTGGTGGGATTGACTCTGCGACGTGATGCTAATTTGCTGTCCTCTGAAGAATTCAAAATTCTATAAGAGAAAAAGAAGAAATTGAAAGAGAAAGAGAAGAAATTTAGGGAGTTACAACAAAGTCAACAGCGGTCAAGCAAGTACAGAGCGAACAAGAAGAGGAAATTAAATGAATTGTATGAAGAGTTTCCAGAGATAAAAACCATGCTACACGTGAGAGATGAATCGGGTCGTGCAAGTATCACTGGTGATCAACCTGAAATTTTGAAGGTAATTACAGAAATTGCTACTTATGGCAGTGCTACAGATGACCGACGTCGAACCGAATGTATAAGAAGGGTAAGAACACTCGATGATTTAGCTGAGAAATTGAAAAATGACTATGGGTTCAATATCAGTCGAAGTGGTGTATATTTACGCTTGATTCCACGGAGAGCTGATTTTCGAGAAGGAAAACGTCACATAAAAACGGTGCCAGTGAAACTGACGAGATCATGTAATGAAACTCACCAGAAGCATATGGATGGAAAATTTGCCGCAGCAACCATTCATCATTCGGAAGATTTGGCTTCAGTCCTAGGACCAAGTGAAGTTTTTTTCATAAGTCAAGACGATAAAGCTCCAGTTCCCATTCGTATCACTGCAGCGAAGAATCAAACACCATTGCTTATGTACATGGAATATCGCGTCACTCTCCCTGACCACGATTGGGTTGTTGCTCCCTCCCACAAACTCATCCCATCAGTTTATGCTGGCGTACAAATTATGGGGAATGAAGTAGAAAATCGGGCAGCAGTCAGCTACTCAGGACCGACATATGTAGCAATGCGATCAGCAAAACATTCATCATCAACAGCTTATTCTCATGCTCTAGACATGGAACATCTATTTGAACTTCCAGAATTTGATGATCTAGTCAAAACAGTCTCAGCTCACGGCAGTAAGTGCATAAAACCCATTGGTATTATTACAGTTGATGGTGGGCCAGATGCGAATCCCCGATACAACAAAGTGATTTCAACAGCTATTTCTCATTTCATAAGTAAGAATTTGAATGCTCTCTACATTGCTTGTAATGCCCCAGGAAGAGGTGCCTTCAACAGAGTAGAGAGACGAATGGCACCATTGAGTAAAGAATTGGCTGGAGTGATTCTTCCTTATGATCACTATGGACAATATTTACATAGTCAAGGGAGGACGATTGACACTGAGAGAGAAAAGACAAATTTCGCATTTGCTGGGACAACTCTCGCGGAACTATGGTCTAGCATGGTACTTGATGATGTTCCAGTCATTAGTGAATTTATTTCACCAGAGAACTCTGAACTCGATGAGTGTGTTTTGCAAAAAAAAATCCAACGAGTGGCACTCCAAACATGTCAGAAGTAGTCAATACTTTTTACAAATTATGAAATGCAATGACAGGACTTGTTGTGAACCTTTCAGGAGTTCTTTGCTCAATGTTCTTCCAGACGGATTTATGCCATCACCAGTACCAATTCTTTAAACTGAGAAAGGTATTGAGATCTCAAGAGACAATGGTCAATTCCTCGCTTTTTTTGTCATCACTTCTTCAACGCACTATTTATCCTGCTACTTTTGATGAGTTTAAACAAATTTTGAAAAATCGTACAAATTCCCTACGATGTAGCATGTCCATCAGTATAAAAAGACATAAAACGAAAGCTTTGCAAGAAATGTGGGACATATCTTGCCTCTCTTTGCAACTTGAAAGAGAACCAGAAACACTGTGGCATAACAACTCCAATTCCGAAAGTGCGTGCAGTGCGGATTGCTGTTAAACGTCAAAGAGAACTTTTGGCAATCATACGTAATATCAAAGAAGACGAAGATGCAGAATGGATCGATGAAGAGTTCGTCGACCAAGAGTATCTCCCTGTACCGCAGTTTGCCAACGACGACGAATCTGTCATTATTTCAATGGAAACTCATTTGACTTGCCCCTGGCAATAATTGTTTTCAGGTCGATATGTGTCAAAGTATGTTTAAAATTCGTGATAAAAGTTTCTAAGAAAGTATCAAGTTAATACTCTGATGACAATGTTATCCAAAATACCCAAAAAAAGCGTGACGTAATTGTTGAATGCTCCTCTGCACAAATTAAGGGGTTTCAAAAATTAATATAATTTCGTATTCCTTGCTTAATTTTAACTAATTATTTACCTATCCTCAAGAGAGAAAAATCTGTGTTTTATTCCCCTTTTAACACTATCCATCCCTTACGAACTTTGATCAAGCTTTTATCCGGAAATCAATTGTCAAGACTGGAATGATCATTTAAGGTTCACAGATGAAAAAATTTCGATAAAAGCTTTTGGAATCTATTTCCAATCTTTTATTAAGTTTTTCTGATAATGTATTCATCATTTAGCTTTCACTAATACAGGTACACTGAGAAAAAAATATATTTTTGCCAAATATTTATTCACTTGAGAGAAGTATTCATTTTTTCAAAATCGTATTTCTCCAATTGAGTCATTCCCAGGCGAGCCTGATTAAGTTTCAATTACAATAGTCATGTTGTTCTAGAGGATGACTATGTTGCACATGACCTTGGATGGACTCTTCTAATGATTATTCATATTTCCAAAATTTTTCATTTTCTACAGGGCAGAATTTCGATCAATTTTTTTAATGTTGATAATTATTGAAGCAGTTCACTCAAGGTTATAACTAACATGATCATATTTTAGAGCAATATAATTGACATGATTGAAACCTAATGAGGACTGCCTGAGAATGACTCGAATGGAGAAATACCGTATTGAAAAAATAAATACTTCTCTCAAGTAAATGGATATTTGGCAAAAATATTTTTTTTTCTCAGTGTATACAAATTTATCCCCGAGGTATCTGAACATCAAATCCAACGGGTTACCTAGTTCCCGAGGCAATATCTCCTCAATAATAGAGTCCAATTCACCAACCCTCCGATAACAATGAAACTTTCCAATAATTGACAATCACGCTGGTTTCTCACTAAATTAGAGCTTGAATTCAGTGTTTTCGGACCGTGTTATTAGTGTCCCGATGGGAGGGGTAAGTGAACAACGGAATTCTGGCTTTAGTAATCGGTCCGATCCGCTCATCATCGAAAGAGGGTGGCGGAAGCTCGTTAAATCAACACAGTTCAATCTCCATCCAACCGCTGTACTTACCGAATATCGAATCTAATCTAAAAATATCTGAGTGATTCGATTGCAAATAATTACTCTTGAATGAGCTCTGTTAATTCGCATTTAAAAATTTGATCATGGCTCCCAAAATGTCTTAGAAACTGTCTTATACCCTTTCACATCTGATTGCCTTCTCCCCAGCTGAGGAAAGGTAAATGACATCGAAAAAAGGTAGAAAATCCGACATACCTTGAGTGTAAAGCGCAGCCATGCGGCGCAATGGAGTAATCAGTCCTCGATGTCGTATGTCGCAAGGGTGGTTCATGGCTGTGACCCTGACCCGAGGGGTAGTTGTTGTTGCAGTTGCTCAGGGGGCCGCGTAGGCTACCCGGTAGATGGTAAGGTGCCACTGCATGATCACTGAAACATCGACAGAAAAAATTTCCTAGATTAGATACCTCCAATCGTTACAGAGAAGTTGGTCAAAAGAACTCCCATTTCCATACCGACGACGGAAATTGCAGTTTCCTACTCCTGAGTTTGCATCTTATAACGTGAACGGTAAAACAGATTTCGCACTCGGTTGATAACGATAACACCCTCCGGGTGATACTTAATCTCTAGCAATTTGTAGCGGAGTTCAGAAAGAACTTAACGACTATATTGTCAGTAATTAAAACCGTTGACTCGATGATAACTGAGAAGATAAGAGCCCATGGGAAATCATACCGACAAACGCCCCAGTTAGTCTCTTATGACCGTTTTATAATCACTGTTTTAGAACGAGCGAGTGGGAGATTGCAGGTTGGAGCACGTAGATAGAGCGATACCCGATAACGTCCCTTCTTTCATTTTCTCTCTTTCGTAAATAAAGCGTTTAAAACGTCTGCGTTATATCTACATATCCCACGATCCTTTTGAATCAGTAGAAATATTTATATCGTGAAGTACACGTACCACTCATTCGCTTTAATTATGATCTCATTCAATTCATTAACTAATAGTTGTGCAGTAAACAATTAGGGCGTTTGCAGCAGCTGTTAAAATACGATTAGTCCGGAATGGGAATCCAGGAAATCCGAGCTGTGGATACAACTGCTTTGTGAAAACTGCGACAATAACTTAGAGCAAATTATTTTGCTGTTTTTAATCATGGTAATTATAGACGGGATGAGATGTTTTTTTGCTGCGATTGGGAAGAGGTCTCTCACCTGTTCGTAATTATCTGTCAGGATGGAAGAACGCAACGAGTGCTTCCGGTTTTTGCGACAGCTGTGTCACTGGTTACTCTTACTATACACGACAGTGGGGATATATACATGAGCGGGAAAATGTTAGAATAGATGAGGGTGGAATTTTAGTTGCTCACGATTGTACGAACGTTACATTCTTTTCAACGTAAATTTCTGACAAAAAGCATTGTTCGAGGGAGAGTTGAATCGGGTGTAGACGTATCGCTGCATGGGCCTGGATATTTCCGGTCTCACGACCTTCAACAGTCGTTGTTATCCCAACATTTTGAGCAATCCGTTAGCTGTTACGTAAATAAGAATTTTTCTTTAGAATCATGGATGTTGTTGGATTGACTCGATAGAAGAAATTTATGTTTTAATGATGACATTTATATTCGTTGATATAATGTGATTTGGTTCCCATATAGCCAGACAGTTATTGACATGGCGCGAGATGATTCACTCACTCGGATTACCGCTGCTTTTGTATTATGGTCCGGTCTCGCTTCCGGAAAGAATTCCCCATAAACTGTTAAAAAATTTTGTCTGAAAGTTCTGGTACACTTTTTGGACATTTTTATCGAATTTAATTACCACTAAAACTTCAAGGAATATCGTCATTGAAAATTCAGAATTAAAGGGAAAAATTAAAGAGAACTGTAAATTTCAGTTCTATTTTTCCCTAAAAATAAAAAAGAAACCATAAAATTCCAGTAAATATTTTCTGGAATTTTCAGGATAGTAAAACTGAATGTGATTTAAGGGGAACAACATTATGAAATTTCAGATTTTACTGAAAATTCTATGTAATTAGGAATATTTATATTTGATTGGAAATTCAAATAAATTAAGAAATTCTTGTCTTTATGTTGCTTAAAATTCTGGAATTTTACTAAATCTTCAGTGAAATCTGAAATTTCATGATTTTTTTAACCTAAATAGCATTCAGTGTCACTGTCCTGAAAATTAGTAGTCAATTGTCCATTAAATGTAATAATAAATAAATAAAAAACTGTCCATTAAATTTCTTTTTTTTTCTAACAGTGTGTAGTGTATTTGAAAAAGTTCGGTCACTAGGGGAATCTGATAATGTTTACCCCCATCTCTTCAATAATATATATTTTTAAGAAACATCTAATGATCGCCATTTTTCCACGAAAAAAATTACATAGTTTCCCTGTTGTGTCAGCGTAGATCCGGACTTTTGTCACTATTCTTGGTGTAATAGAGAAACAGCGTTAATAAACGTATAGTACGGATTGAACAGACTCGAGAAGTGTCACTCATAATGAATTTGAGAATTGCTAGGGTTATTCTGACTTTGAAAACTTATCAACATTCTTTTCAAACAAAAGCACATGATTTTTTCATTACCCTTTTCATTAACCTGGAAATCAAAATACTTTGATTTTGAACCATGTTGATCACTCGCAACATAAAATTTATTAGAATATTTGAGAAATCTGTAGCAGTCTGTTATCCTTGATTTCTATATCAACTTTTATGAAACATCTATCTTTCAACGCCGGTGCCTCCACAGATATAAGGGATGGTTCCTTATTTTTCGACTGATACTTCCGACCCTCTAGTCGGAAGCGTCCTTCTAAAACTTTTTGTTATTTTTTTGGTAACGTAAAAAATTAACGAACGATAATGTATAAAATAGGTGGATCGGTCTCACAACTTTGAATACTTGTGATACTTTTAGATAGAAAGGTTGTTGAGACATCAAATCCACCAGCACTTGATACAAATGCTTGTCGTTTTTTTCACAATAGTTGGTTCTCTTATAACCTCTCGCCCTTCCCGAACACCTTCGACTTCTCATAATGAAAAATGTATTATTTATTCGATAAGAAGTGTAATTTATCATCATGCGGTTATCTAGTTTTTGACTATGAACATTAATTTCTCATGATAAGAACATGGCTTGTTCGATATAGAGCCAAATTTTACATTATGTCACATAGTTGTTGCCTATCGGCGAACATGAATCCTTTGCTTAGACTGATTGACTTCGAAATGAGCTCGATATTCGTCCGAGGACCAAGTTCACGTTCCCGAGTCGAAAAATCGGCCGTTCCGAATCTTCCCTGTGTCTTCCAAGGCGACGATTTCTTTTGTGTTCGGATTTTTTGCCCGTTTTTTAGCAACGACTTTAGTCTTCCATGTCTTCACCACTTTTTGGAAACGATAGAAATCTTCCATGTGTGGTTGGGTGTCGTTTGACCCGCCTTGCCACGGAAGACAGAGAACGACAAAGCGAATATGTACTTGCAACGACTACCCAATCGGAACGACAAGAGTCGTCGATCTGTATATTCGTCTCTTCCCAACGTTTAGGGTCCATCAAGCCGGTAAAAGGATCGGGGGATCAATAAAATCATAAAATTTTTATGACTGAACTGAAAATATTCACATGAAGACTGGTATCGTTGTGTTATCGTCAAAGTATTCGAAAGTTTTGGGACTTAGAAAAATTTTCGTGTCAAGGGAACTTAGAAAAATTTCTTCACATAACTGAACTTAGAAAAATTTGACTTGTTAGTGGAACTTAGAGGCGTTTCTTACGAGCAAAATTCGCCGAAATATATTCAAAGGATCGTATATTGAAAAATGAGATCCTAATGACCTAATTATAGATTAAAATTCGGCTCAAATTTAATTTCTTTTGCATGTATAATACATGGTCGATTGATTATCATTTTATTTTTTTTCCTCAACTGATGCATCGGAATGTTTCAAATAGAATAATTAGAAAATATTTTATTCACCTCGAAAAATAGAATGAAATTCCTGATGTAGGATATACGATGAGTTGTTTTCAAATACCTCATCATTCATGTGATCTCCTGTAATTTTACTCGGAGAATGCGACGAAAATGAATTCTGTTATCAAACTAAAGATTCAGACTTTTTTCGCGTGAATCATGTGAATTTAGCGTGAATTCATGTGAATGATAGCGAGAATGGCAACAGCTCGTGGATCATCAGGATTAATACCTTGTTGTTGTGGTTGTTGTCATGGAAAAGTTCGTCCTCTCCTACAATTCCTTTCAATGTTCCGAATTACTGCATCTGTGGGATGACGTCGGCGATTAGGGTACCGTTCTCGATATGTCTGGGCAGCGGCTCGATAGACTCCGCGGCACTCTCCTAATACGAGTAAAATATCGACAATTTCACTCGCTGAATACATCGTGATGTGTTCAATGAAATTACAGGGGATACTAACTCGATTCTGGTTGAATTGAAACTGTTTCGAATAGCAGAATCCTCGAGTTAATGGAGAATTCTTTGTTATTGTTTACATTCCATAACTACGGTTGGTAAATGGATTAGCAGAACAATTATCTACGCCAAGACGCGTCAAGGGTGTGTGAATCTTCAGTTTGATAACAGAACTCATTTTCGTCGCATTCTCCGAGTAAAATCGAACGAGTTCACATGAATGATGAGGTATTTGAAAACTACTTATCAAGGAGAACAAGTTTCAATAGGGTAAAAAATCCGATTGCCATTTAAGAAAAAGCTCCTTGTGCTTGCAGCTTGCAAGTATGATCGTGAAAGCGCAAAAAAATGCATGCATCAAATGTCCTCCTCGGAACTCTAAAACTTCTGTACCTGAAAATTTCCTGTCACTTGTCCCCCTTAGAAGATATTTGGGTGCATTGTTTCAAATGGAACACCCTGTATAATCATTTTTTGTAACATCGATAAATCTATAGTTTTGTAGTTTCCAAAATAAATCGAATATTTTTCATTTGTTTCAATCTTTTATATAAACAAAAAATGGTACAACCCCTCCATTGCCCTCCCTCCTGCTCTCCCCGCCGGAACCAACGGTATCTAGCCATAACATTTAAATAAGGACGGACATACTCGCGGACATACTGACCGATACCCCGAAAATGAAGATTAGAGCGACCAAAGGAAGATCGGTGTCGCTCCAATCGTCATAAATGGGAACGATTCTTGTCTTCCTCAAATCTTCCTTGGTCTTCATGAGTCCCATAACTACAACATCGGAGCGATATTTGAACGACTCTTGTCGTTCTCATTTTTATGGCCATCGAGGATAAGACGACTATAGTCTTCCCTGTGTCTTCCTATGTCGTTAACGATATATTCAGAAATCGGAGCGACTTGGAAGACACGAGGAAGATTCGGAACGATCAATTTTTCGAC